ACTGACTATAAACAGACTGCTACCTGCATTGTGTCTCTATAGTAGTTACAACTACTGAAATAGTCAAAATCGTAAAAAACAACCTTATATTTAGCGTAGGTATAATGAAACACTCAATCGATTTCGAGGGCAGCTAAAGGTCCCTCCTCATCAGGAGAAAGAAATACATAGAAAGAAGAAAATAGGAATCACAGAAACACGTGGTGCTTATCAGCACTGCACGTGGTTATAACTAGATTTTTAATCAGAGTTGCACTGGCCGCCTACTTTTACTGATTTCTTTATGCTTGATCAGACAGCCTGGCTCAGTAAAAGTAGGCGGCCAGTGCAACTCTGATTAAAAATCTAGTTATAACCACGTGCAGTGCTGATAAGCACCACGTGTTTCTGTGATTCCTATTTTCTTCTTTCTATGTATTTCTTTCTCCTGATGAGGAGGGACCTTTAGCTGCCCTCGAAATCGATTGAGTGTTTCATTATACCTACGCTAAATATAAGGTTGTTTTTTTACGATTTTGATTGTCACATTAGCGTGTTTCTCTTCTAGTCTACTGAAATAGTATTTACAACGACTGAAATATCTATAGAAGTATTTACTGGAATAACCACAGTTATTACAACAACTGCAAGTTATATATCAGTGTATAAAGTACTGTGCGCAGAGTAATTGGAACGCCCTTACAAATCGCGTACAGAACTTATCAACAGTGTACAGAGCTCAACACTGACTAATCACAGGCTATTACTTGCATGTCCATGCTAGTCCATGCTTAACTGAACAGTGTAAAACAAATGTGTATCCGACTTTGCATTGTGTAACCATTCTGTAAGCATTGTGTATATAACAAGCATCATGTATCTATTACAATACTAATATGCATTGTGTATTCTACAACATAGTGTTTCTTCTACAGTCATTGCCAGTACTGTATTACATAAACGCATTATACAAACTATCTGCAATATACATGCACCTCATTCTGCACTGAATTTGTCAAATTCTGCACTGTATCTGCTGTATATGAAGCATATAATTACTATGCAACTATCTACATTGCGTGTGCATTACCTGCATAATATGCATTACCTGCAATACCTTACAACCTGCATTGTATTTGCAGTACCTGTGAAATCCTATAGCTTTGCATAGAATTATTTAGCTTGGCACCAACATACAACATAGCATGCATGATATTGTACTCTATAATTTTTGCTGTATGTAGTTGTATAGTGTTTTATTTTTGTTTTATTATGTTCATATAACTGTACGCAAACTAAATTCTAACAACTAATACTCTACAAGCACTGTGAATCTGGATTTGCACTGTGTATTTGTTCTGTGAGCAATGTGTATATAAAAAGTATTGTGTACCTATTTTAATCCAATAAGCACTCTGCATCTAATATAATATAAAATAAGCGCCGCGCATTCTTTAACATAGTGTCTCCACTACAGTTATTGCCTGCACATCATATCTGTATTACTCAAACTATCTGTATTATATCTGCACTGTATCTGACATATGCATAATGTATAATTCATCTACATCTATCAATATTGTATCTACATTACCTATATAATATCATAGCTTCGCATAGAAATATATAGCTTAGCAACATCACACAACATAGCATGCATGGTGCTGCGTACTATAATTGTGTGTATATAATAGTATATTTTTTTTAATCTGTTAATATAATTGTGTTTATATAATTGTTCACAATTGTGTTATATATGGTAGTATAGTGTTTTATTCTGTGTTTTGATACGTTCGTATAATTGTGTTTGCATAATTGTACACCATAACTGTGTTGTATATAGTAGTATAGTGTCTTATTTTGTTTGTACAATTGTGCGCAGTATAATTTCTAATATCTAATGCTTTACAAGCATAGTGGATCTGTTTTTACATTGTGTATCAATTCTGTAAACATTATGTATATAAAAAGCGCTGCATATCTATTCAAATTAAATAAGTATTGTGTACCTGATATAATGTATTGCATAATGTATACAGCGTAAAGTTTCATCTGCAATTACTACAATCTAATAACAAAATTTAATATTCTACAGTGTGTCTGCATGCTTTATGTATGTTTATATGCGCATTTTACATGTGATCTATATGTGTCTTTAGTGTAATGTATACTATATATTAGCTTAATTATGTTTCATTATAAATATGTGTTTTACTGTATAAGTGTGTGCAAACTAGTATCTAATTCTGTTCCTTAATGTACTTACATGTTTATATGTGTTATATGTGCTTTTATATGTGTTTTACAATGTTTTGTATGTATCTTTATTGTGCAAAGTGTTGTGTATGGAGTGCTGTAATTAGTGTTTAGAAACCAAGATGTAACAATCATTCGCCTATCTCAAAACTAATGTATTCTTAAGGTTGTATGGCCATAATTACTAAAATTTCAATAAACTTCCCGAGGCGGCCTCATGATCTCCTGGGAGTTGCTGCCACTAGAGGGAGGACGCGGGACATATGCCTGTTTACCTCTGTTAAACATCAGGCATATCCGTCCTCCGTCACCTGTCACCTGTCAAATGTCGGCAGAACATGATGGATTTTCCCAGTGCCCAGTAATGGGTGTTCTGCCTATTGTATATTTCACTCCGCGAAAAGCATGCCTCATCCGTCCCCACTATACCTCCCAAGAATGTTGGCTGGACTTCTATCTGGTTCATAATGAAGCTGCAGCATGCGAAACGTCTCTCGATATCTCCGTCTAGTAATGCCTGATTAGATGTTAGTTGGTATGGATGAGCACCTAATTCATGTAGAATTTTCCAAAAGCGACTTTTTGAGAGGCCACAGTTTTCACTTATCTCTCTTGTGCTTCGTTTTGGATATGTGAAGCCATATGAGACATCTTCCGGTTGCACTTTCCGCTCTACTTTAGCTGGTCTGCCGAATCGAAGTCAGCTAGTCACGCAACCTATCTCCTTAAACATTTCACAACCTGTAGGAGTCTTTTGTATGAAGGATGCGGGACTGCAGGAAAACGTTGCCGATTGTGCCTTGCTCTCACATTCACCGTAAATCGAACCACATCACAACAATCAATTTTTTAAAAATCTCTCCATGACTATGATCTTCAACATACAACCACGAGGAGATATATCTTTTATAGATGTCTCAGGTGAACAGGTGTGACGTTTCATACACTATTTGCATAATGCACAAATTCGCACACCAAGCTGAAGTTGCGTTGAGTTGATGCGTTTTGAGACACGATTGTGCACGATCTGTATGTTGTCTACTCTGTTTGTAAAGACAATCAGCACAAAGATGCACCCCGCGAGATTAGAACCCCAGTCCTATCGACTTTTAATTACAAGCGACATCACTATTTTTCATACGAAAGATATCTTTTCCTTCGTTCAACACGTGACGTTCAAGCAAAACGCAAAGAAAGATGGCCTTTTCTATTTATTTTTAGCATTCATATCCAGTGTCTATTCGTACTAAATCAACGACGCTCTACTACTTTGTAATTCACTTTTTCTTCCTATCTCGTATCGTTTTCGAGATAGGGAGGCTAACTCTGCCGTTTTTCACCAGGTGGCGCTGTAAGTTATCTCATAAAGTAGCTCATAGCCACTTTATTATACCTAGACACCAATTTTATGACTATAGCTGCAGCCTTTCGGCAGTTAAACGGATGGTACCGGACTTGAATGGGCACCCTGTGTAGAGACTAATTCTTTCTTTCTGCAAGGAAGGCGTCTTATCACACCGGAAACGAGAAAAGTTTCAACTGCAAAAGAGAAAACCTCTCATTCATGTTCATATGAAGAAATATAAATCACGTCAAAACACATTCCCACACATGTCATGAGAAGTTTGCATATAATATATTTTTGTAAATGAATAGGCATGATATGATTGACGATGAATGTATACAGATATGAGGAATTTTAATCTCCCTGCAGCTTTTACAATCTTATTTTCAGTTTTATACATCGTGATCTCAAAGTCCATAAAGATTTTTTTAAAATCCACAAGAGTAAAAACTGATATAATGGAGTGCTGATTGCCTGAGTATATACTATTTAAATGAAAGTGGATATTTTGCATGTGGAGCGGATATTTAGGTTAAAATCAAACCGGTTATATATTACATATTAAGTTTCAAAGTGTTTGCAGAAATCTACAGTATAAAATGAGAATAGCAGTTGGACAAAAGAATATTCGTAAACACACGCGGCTGCATGAAAACATTCGTGGATTATCTTAGTAGATTGCTAACAAATACTAGCACAGAGTTGTGGCAGCAGCAATGATGACCTTCAATCTTGATAAGGCAGTGTGTCAAGAAGCATCGCTGTGTTAACTTCGGGAGTCATTACAGAGGTGTTTTTGTGATTATATGTGTGTGGTAGTCATTATATTACGGATGGAAAAGTGGAACAAGGCACCAACATGAAACTTTGAGTTACAGTGGAGGAATCGGCCACTAAAGCATTGACCATGCTTCGGCAAAGAGTTATACGCAATATTTGCACAGGTGCTTCAAAAGCCGAAGAACGTCTCTTGAAGATGACGAGTGATCTGAAAGAACTTCCAAGAATATCAAGCCCGAAATTGTAGAACGTATTCCGGAACTTTTGTATGGGGAACTTTAGAGGAGGTTCAACGACATTGCAAACATTGTTTTTGTGTCGTATGTCAACCTAACGTTCTGAATATCCTTCATGCACGTTAGATCGTACACGACTTCAGTGAACCATGTTATTGGGAACACCTCCTTCATGAGTTTGTAGCCAATTACAACTTATTATCGCTTATGCACATGCTCTCTACGCGCCAGATTTAGCTCTTGCCGATTTCTTCTTTTAACCCTTTCCCGCCGTTTTTTTTTATAAAACATTTTACTTTTTGAGTTAAATAATAAAATGACAACACATATATGTAAGAGCAATGTCCTTTTATTTTTTTAGATTTTATATTTTCAAAAAATTCGCTTGGGACATAAATGTTCCTTTAGGTTCCCTTAGGTACGGCCATCAACTTCTGGTTCCATATTTTCTTGATCATTACCTAACCTTTCCGGGTTCTCTTGAAGAAAGTTACTTTCATCCATGTCGGATCCTAAAGTCATCTCTGTGGTGGAAGGAGCAAATTCATAAACAGTTTCTTGAAATGAATCTTCAGGGTCTTTAGACTCATCCCCAAAACGATCAGCAAGCTGTTGTTCTGTGTCGTCTAGCTTCCTCTTTATGAAAAGAAATATATAAGCATATTTAAATATATATGCAAATATGCATAGTTTTGAGCAGATTAACTAAACTGGAACACAAACAACAAAAGCCGACCGAGACGCATTTATCCTCAATGAGACTTAGTGAGAAACGTATATGTCCCATGTTGAAATTTTCAGCAAACAAAGGAGCAAAAATATAATAAATGGCTTTTTTAAAAGTAATTCGCACTTTTATCCACCGATTTGCAGTAAAAAAAAGCATAAAAAACAATAAACAGATTCTCAGGTATAGGCTAGAAGGATAGGAAGGAATTCTCAGGTATAGGGAAGCCATTAGTCAAAGTCCAGTACTCGAGTGGGACACAGACTCGCGCTTTTGTAATTGACGCTCTTCCTTCTCGATTTTTTTTTTATTTTGCTGCGGAACATACATAAACAATTAGACGCGAACAGATTAATCGAAGATGAAGATCCAATTAAAAAATCGCCTTTCTTACTCCAAAACGCTGCTCGAAATGCAGAAGGTTATAGATTCGCCAATGAAAAATAACTTCAATGCCATACTCCAGCAATAATAGGAATATTGAGATACACGCATTGCTTAACAACATAACTATTTCTAAATAGATAATGCTCAGGCTTATGTAAAAAATGTACTTTTTTGTCAAGCGAACTAATTCAGGAACTTTTGATACACCTCTGTATAATTAATATGCAATAATTTTATGAATACAAACTATAATCTTATTTCAAAACGAAAAACAGTAATGGATCCCAAGATTTTCTCTATTATGACCTTAGAAACTCTTTATGAAAATTTCTTTTAAATTACTACAGTTTCCAATTATCTTCATTCCTAAATTAAAATTCTGTTGGGAGGCTAAAATCAAGCACACTAAGAATTTTAAGAAACATTCCTGTTATTGGTGATTAGTATAATTTTCTTACAGCATTAGTGTCCTTTCCTGTGAAAACAAATGGGCATTTTAAAAATAAAACTCCATACTGTGTGATCCTGGAAATTGTATAAATAGTTTCGGGGAAAATTTTCTTTTTTTCAGGTAAGTAAACACGCGCCGCCGTATTCGTGTCTCAAATAGGATCTTGAGAAATATCTTAAGCACATCAATAGCTTTTCATTGCAAAAACTTCTCCTTACTTTCCTTAGCATGAACAAATGATTTTGACAAAATATGGATTAAGTGTTTGAAATATAAATAGGTTCAAGAATACATAAATCCTTCTGTATATACTTCATTTACCCTGAATAGTATAACCAGGTTAATAGGAAGAAAAGGTAATATTTGTCATTGAACATCAAAGAACGGAAAAAAGGCTAGTACGGTAACAAAGCCAATATTGCTGCAGGTTTTGTCCATTGTATTCGCAGCGAAGTATCTGTTTGCTTATTAATTATATTTACCTAAGTTATTAAGAAATATTCTTCTATCATAGAACTGTTGATAAGCTAAACTCTCCTCAAAATCAATTGATGCTGCTTCGTAGCACATAATATCACTTTCAGAGAATATTTAATCTTTTCAATTTCAGAAAGAATTGAAATGTTATTTCTAATTTTTCAAGTCACAGACGTTTTATGGAGTTGTCTTGTTGTATGTACAGTTGGAGTTCGGAAAAGGATGCTAAAAAATAAATTAAGCAGTTTTAATCGACTAATTATGCTTCAAAGATTATTGAAATAAGCTCAAACATAACATCATAATTTTGTTTAACATAACTTTGCTAAATTCATGCAATAAAAATCTTACATTGTATAAAATTATTCAATTTTTTCCTTTGATACAGAAAGGTTTAACTGTGTTAAACTGGAACAATTTTATTTATAAAATAAAAATTTTGAATTTTTCTTTCTGCGTAATTTGAGAAAGAACTTTCTCGAGTTTTTGTTAACGAATTAAAATGTAATTTTTTCAGGGGAAATAATCCTTATAACATTATTATAGTTTCTCACGACAAAGGAAATTATTTACTTCATGTTTCATGTTGGAATTTTTAAGGATCTTTGCATTATTTTTGGATTATGATAGTGATTATTCCATTATGAGTTAGAAACGAACGTAACTTTTTCTAAATAAGAAGAAAAACATTTCTTAGTCATTTAATATTTTTTTCAGTAAAAATGTATTAGGCTTGTTCGAAAGAAACTTCATGCATTATTTCTCTCAGTGTACTTTTATGCCAAGATATAGAACCCCAGATTTTTTTCTAAAACGTGAAATGATAGCATCAAAAAATTACTGCTGTAGTTAGGCACTGGTCAACAACTATCAAGGAAAAGTACTATCATCGGATACTTCTAAAGGGAACAAATTATTAATCAACAAGATTTTTACATGCTAAAATAATAATTTATTGTGAAAAATAGACATATTACCGTAGAAAACGTATAACACGGAATAAAAAAAGTAAATTAACTCTGTTATTTTAGATATCAGATAGTCGATCAAGATTCGATTTTAGTTTTCGTTTTATAGTGCTATCAATTCCACCTGCAAAGAATGGATAGGAGGGAAACATAACACTTTTTCTCATAAGTTTAGAACATCTCAGGATGAAGACTGTCATAACAAATTCATAATTAGCAATTAATCAAAATTTTTAAAATAGTGATACCTCCTTCTCTGCCTTACGATGTATATACTTAACAGAATATTTTTAGCTAATATTTAATTAATATTTTCCTGTTTATTGTTGAGACTTATGTCACTTGTCTGATAGTAACATCAGAACAAGTCTACGAGTTATCGTGGGGAGAAATGCAGGCTTGTGCGCATTTTATAGGATGACAGTAAAACTTCGCACAATTCCGTCTCAGTTTTGAATGAAATTTCCTTAGTGGCAAGCCCAGTGCTCTTCCTTATGCTTTCCTTACCAATAAACCAATCGAAAGAACTTTCAGCTCGCTATATATTTTAAGTGCCCCCATGCAGTAAAGATATTATACAAAGATACAAACATCCAAGTGTTCCGCGGAGTTCAAACCCGGACCCAGTGATACGGCAGGCAGTAACGCTAACCCTATACCTATCAAGATTGCTTGTTTAACTATGGATGTTTATTGTTTCATATAGTACATGGGAAAGACTTTTATACGTATTAAGAAATTTATCTTAATTTTTGTGCAATTCAGAATCTTAATTTTGATACACCTGCTTGCTATTCAGTAATATAAGTTATGGAGAAACAGTTAATTATAATAATATGAATAATTATAAGTTCGAAACCTGCTATAAATTTTTAACTTAATTAATTTAGTAGTTTCACGCGGCTCGTACACAAAATTAAGCACATGAGATATTGCACTGCATATTCTTCACTTTAATTACATTAATTCTGATAATGCGAAAATTACTACAACATAGCGAGCCATTCCATATGGCTGTCACAAGAACAAAGTTCTATTTATCACTAGTTTTGTTCCCACAAGTATTAAAAGGAAACATTCGAAAACAATGAATCTTAACCTATGACATATGAATAAAATGCATCTTAACCTATGAACGATAAATCTTAACCTATGATCTTATACTTCCGGTTGGAGCAGATTGATGATTTTGCCATCAAATAAACAAACCAAACAATCTTAGATTTCATAACTTGCTTGAAATACTCACATGAACATCTTGGCCCCCGTTGAAATCCCCAACAATTGTTGATATTTGTAACTTCTTATTCTGTAATGAAAACATTGTTAATGAAACACAAAGTAAAACTAATACAAAATACAACAACATTAGCTGTCACAATTTTTAGTCTGTATTGGAAGAGGACACAGTTTCACGATTGGTTGTTTTATGACACCGTGACCAGTTTTAATGCTAACAACTCTGATTGTATGGTCTGAGCCTGGATGAACAGCAATTATTCTCCCTAACTTCCATTTAAGAGGTAGTAGATTGTCTTCTTTGATGAGAACTATATCGTTGATTTCTAAATCGTTTTGACTTTTTTGCCACTTTGGTCTTTGCTGAAGTTGAGATAGGTATTCCGACTCCATCTTTTCCAAAACTGTTGAGAGATGAACTGTCTCACATGTCATCTGTCAAGATGATTCAAGGAATTGTGACTTAGATTGCTCAGGTATGGCAGTTAAAGACGTTTCTACTAGGAAATGACCAGGCGTTAACGCAATTAAATAATTTGGGTCAGACGATATTTGACACAGCGGCTTATAGTTGAGACAAGCCTCAACTTGCGTTATCAGAGTTTGAAATTCAGGATATGTCAGCACGGTATCGCCAACTCTTTAGGGGAAATTTCATTGACTTTACAGCTGATTCCCATAGTCCACCAAAATAGGGAGATGAAGTTGGATTAAATATCCCTTTTATTTTCTCTAGAGACAAGAAGTCCTGAATTTCTTGATTTTGCTTTAACTGCAAAAAGCATTTTCTGATTTCCTTCTCTGTACCATTAAAGTTAGTACCGCAATCGCTGTAAATGTCACTTGGCTTCCCTTTTCTTGAAATAAACCGTTTCAATATACTTAAAAATGCTTTTGTTGATAGATCTTCTACTACTTCAAGATGTGCTGTTTGACTACAAAGCACATAAATAAGCACGCGTAACATTTAAATTATTTTTGTCCACGCCACGCCGGTGTTTGATCATGAACGGTCCTGAAAAATGTATTCCAATTCTATGAAATGGTCGCGATTGTGTTACTCTAGATGTTGGTAGATCAGCCATTATTTGACTTGCCGTTTGAGGTCTATGTTTCAACATATAACGCAAGTATTGCAATTTTCGAGCATTGGATAAATTTGTGTTATTTCTTATGCATGCACTGAACAGATCCCAAAAAAGCTATCCATTCTGTAATATTACCTCTAAAGGTCGGTAATACTAACTTTGGTAATTTAATATTGTCATAAACCTGTTCTGAAATTGCACTATCAGATTTATTTTTACTACTTTGAATTTTTAATATTTTTTCACCTGTAAAAATTCCCATAAATGAATTTTATCCGCATATCCTGAACACTAACTATTTCATTTTTTAATTCTTTAGTATCTGTAATTAAACCTTCAATTTCAAAATCAAGCTTCTTTAAACTCACTTTCTTTTTGTTTTAATAATTCAGCACATTCTTCCAGTTCTAGCCCACCAGCGGATGAGCGATAAAGTCGCTGAACACTGGTAGTTCGGTCCGAGGTTCGATTTCCGCGAACGGGCTGGCTGCATGGGCGTTTTCGTGGTTTTCACCATGTGTAACGTGTATACGAGCCAGTTTTTTCTTAGAACGTCCTCCACGATGGCATCCCTTCCCCTTAGGCGGAGAGCTCTAGTGTGCTTAGCCGTAATCTCAATAAACCAAACCAAACCCTTCTAGTTCTATTAAATTTATTTCATCAGCTGTTATAATAACATCTATTTTCTTAATATAATTAATGACTTTCCTAAGTAAACAAGCTCTTTTTGTTTTAAAAGTCATAAGTTCACTCATAATTACTCAAAACAAAAACACAAATTGTTCTCAAATTACTTTATACCAATATTAAGATGAAATCGAAACTCTTATATTTTTCATCATAACATTGTTCTTAAAACTCAGGTATAACGGAGATTCTTCTTAAATAAAATATAAATTTTCAATATCCACTTACCTCACAAACTGAAGTAATCTTTCACCACCAAAATGCGTAGTTACAATGAGTTTCGAACAATCAATCACTATCTTCACTAGCACTCCGGCTAGACTGACCAGCATCCTTCACAAAGAATTTGTCAATATTTCGAAATATTTATTTTTACCAAGGCTTACTTAATTTCTAAAACCAGAAGTTTCGGAAAACTATGGAAACCCGTTAGGAAAGAAGGAAAAATATTCATAAATAAAATAATTACTAAAATAATATAATAGTAATTTTAAAAAAATCTGAATGTTTTCAGATTTTATATTACGCACAAACGGAAGTGTTTTTAACGTTTTGCGTGGTTCCTTTATTTATGAAATATCATGTTCTTTGCACTTAAACCGTAAAATTCAGTTCAATAGCAATGTCGCAAAATGATTTTAAAATGAGCATATGTTTAGAATTTCCGATACACAGTCTCGCGCGCTCGAGATAGAAATGTGTTTGTTTTCGTACAGTGTTGCCGTTGCTCGCTTTGAAAACGTTGAGTTTGTTAATCAAAAATTCCTTAAAGTGTTACAAAATATAAAATCCAGAATAAAACAAATTTTAAATTCCAAATTAGGGCTTCCAGATGACCATATTCGGTGGAAAATTACGTTATTCAAAATTTGATGGCTCTAGGTACCGTCGTTTTATCACAATGCATGAAACATACATATATTTATGCAGATTATTCATTATTTAATATCTTTGAGTATAACACAGGGTGATAATATTTGGTGGAAAGAATTTGAAAAGTGAACCGATATTTATAGTGAATCAACGCAAAATGCACAAAATGAAATTAACAGCCCTTCTGGACTGAAAATTAAAATTGAATAAAATATAAGTAAATGAAAATTTAACAAATTATTAAATTCAGGATAAATACACTGCTAGCCACCGTAAATGCAACACCCTGAAGGAAGCATGTAAATAACATGAAATTTACAACATACATTAGAGGAGGTGGATATGCAAATGATTAGAATTTCAAAGCAGACGCACATGACGCGCGCCTGTGGCGCCACTTCAAAGCGCTATTTAGGGCTTGGAGTTTTCAACGATTTCAAGTTTGGCAGTTGTGTTTTTCTTGTGGTTTATGCCTCGTAGTAAACAGCGATCATTGTTTGATCAAGTATCCGAGTTCGACAGAGGAAGGATAGTGGCCTACCGAGAGTGTGGATTATCTTTCAGGGAAATCGGTAGTCGTGTGGGACGAAGCCAAACAGCTGTAATGCGCGTATGTGACCGTTGGATGCAGGAAGGTACGATGGACGGACGTGTTCGATCGCATCCACATCAGTGCACCACTTCACGTGATGACAGGAATATTGTGCGCATGATAGTGCCGGATCGCTCAGTCACATCACGAACCATAGCACAGCACATTCAGTCTGTAACGCATCATCCAGTGTCTGCGCGTACCATTCGACGCCGTTTACAGCAGAGTGGTCTGTCCGCAAGACGTCCATTGCTTCGTCTACCCTTGATTCAGAACCACAGACGTCTCCGCCGCCAATGGGCGATGAAAGAAGGATGTGGACGACAGAATGGAATGAAATTGTCTTTACTGACGAGTCACGCTTCTGTCTGCAACACCACGATGGTCGGATTCGAGTCTGGAGACACCGTGGAGAGAGGATGCTGAACAGCTGCGTTATGCACCGCCACACTGGTCCTGCACCAGGTATTATGGTATGGGGCGGTATTTGATATCTCTCTCGCACTCCTCTAGTACGCATTGCGGGTAGTTTAAACAGCCAGCGCTACATCTCCGAGGTGTTGGAGCCAGTTGCCCTTCCTTACCTTCAGGGCTTGCCCACAACCATATTTCAGCAGGATAATGCGCGACCACGCGTGGCACGCATTGTCGAAGTGTTCTTCGTCAATCGCCAAATTGAATTCCTTCCCTGGCCGGCTCGCTCTCCCGATCGTTCGCCGATAGAAAACATGTGGTCCATGGTTTCTGAACGAATGACCCAGATTACATCCCAAGCTCCCACATCCAGATCAACTTTGGCAACGTATTCGAAACTGCTTTGGTCTGCTGTACCCCAAGAACACATCCAAAGTCTCTTTGAATCAATGCCGAGGCGTTGTGGCAGCGGTGATCTCCAACAATTGCGGCTACTGGAAGGAACCATACTTCACAGAAGTCTATAAATTTAATCATTTGATACTTCATCAACATGTTATCTACTAAATAAATTTTGTCGTGATATCTCTTGCCTTTCTTGATGTTGCAATTTGGGTGGCCCGCAGTGAAGTTAAAAAAAATAAAGCATTGGACCTTGTCTTATTTGGGACCTCGGCTGGATTTATATTTCGTTTAAAAACTAAGAAATAGCTTAGCCGGCCTCCGCTGAATTCAAGCCCTGATTACATGGTATAATGTCCTATTTCAAGAAATGAGAGAAATAAAAATCTTTAGTTTTCCAGCATACCAATAAATAAAGGTAAAACGATAAAAGCGATACTAATGAGAGTGCCTAGAAAATAAGCCTTTGACACGTGGGTGGGGGCTTTCCTTTCATTAACAGTCTCAACCTTCGAAAAAGGGTTTCTTCCCCAGAGAAAGACAGGCATGCATTCAGAAATTAGAATCGATATTTAAGACATATTTGTAATTAAAATACAATTTGGTCTGTTGAAACTGTGTTTCATTTATATAAAAGAAGTGCTAGAGCCCTTTTATTTAGGTTCCCTGAGTGTTCCGACTAGAATTACGATTTACCTCAAAAAGTAGTGAAGCCGGGCTCCCGTGAACTCCGGCGTAATTTAAGCTCTGTTTCTGACTACAATACATAAATCTAGACTACTGAATAAACGTTGTGTCTTTAGTTTTACAGTAATATTTTATTATCATTATCACCTTATTATTAATATATATTTGCAACACATATCATGTTTTTCATTCTCCAGAATATCATCTAGATGATCAATTTCAGTTTCAGAACCTTTGAAGCCGTTCTTCATAATTCAAATTTTCATATTATTTGCTTAAAGGCTCCAAACCTTCCTCCCTTGTGAAACTTTGGTACTGTTTTTTAATTCTAAAAATTGTATTTAATTAACTAGTTCTGTGCTCATCTAGTCTAAACACTTTAATGTCCGTTGGAGGAATTTCATCTTGAAAATCTCAGGAGCACAGTTAAAACAAACAATAAATATTAAGTAACTTCACTTGTGGAAAGCACTTCATATCATTTAAGGATACAGTGAATATTATTACCTTAGTAGGTGGTTCCATCTTAGTGTTAGTGCCTGTAATTTATGAATGAACAAGATCGTACAGAGTAGGGAATAGGGCTAAAACACACTATCGATTAGCATTAGAATTTTCCGAACCATTATGATCTATTTTACCTTAATAAA